TTGTATTATTTAAAGGTTATACTTAGTCCAACCATGTTTCAGGTGAAACTAAAAAATCAGGAGTTTTGTGTGTCTCTTGTAGGCTTACAATGGGAATATTTTTTACTATTTTAATTTCTGTATCTCTTAAGGACCTGAAAATTTCACTTATTTGTCTCTATTTACTAATGTCCTAGATTCAGTATAAATGCAGCTGTTTTTATTATCCATATGAATGGATAATAGCCTTAGAATTAAATTGGAGATGCTGAAATGCCAATGCATATGGGCTCCAAACACTGTTATTTTTGCTAACTGTGACAGTCCAAGATGGTTGTCAGCGGCTATGGACATACTCAGCATTTTGCAGATTGAAGTGCCTTGGAAATGGTGCTGAAACAGACTCTTCCCATAGTTGCTTAGTCTCTGACAGTTAAAAGATGATTAAGTATCCTCCCTCATTTTTTTTCACCTTCATGGTGGTTTTCATTCAAAGCAGAGATTGCTAATGCTAATAAATTCTTCTTAAGAATTTTGCTAAAATCCTCTTAAAAATCAGTTTATCATCTCCTTGTTGCCCATAGTTATTTTCTGTGCTAAAATTAGGTATTAATTTTACAGAAAGATTTACTTTTAAAAAAGCCCTGTTTTTTTGTCCATTCATAACTTGCTATTGTATATGCTTTTCCTTCTTTCAGCCAATGTTTTCATGCAATGCACCATTTTTAATATTAATTTAAATTCATTTAGACACATATTTTAATATTCATTTAAATTCATTTAGACACATAATTTCTATTTAAAAAAAAAAAAAAAACTAGAACCAGTAACTAATCATGGGCAAGCAGCAGAGGAAGTCATAAAGACCAGACTGCCCAAATCTTTGTTTCAATGTAAATACATATTTTGTAAAGCCATCTGGGCTCAAAACTCATCTTTTCTCAACTAATCTACAATCTTAGCTGGCATTGCCCCACATAAAATTTTAAATTTAGACATCATACCTCCTCATATCACGGTCTCTAATGTGTAAAAATTACATCCTACAACTACACTTATTCACTGGTAAGCAAAACTATCAACACTTTAAAGTGTGACACAGTTCTTTTTTTGAGGTAAAAATAGAGGGGAAAGGTGATAAATGTTGCTATTGCATGCAAAAAAATATATTATTAAAATATTTATATTTATCTAGATATAAAACAATACAGATAAAATTACAATTACTATACACTGATAAAGAAAATATCTTCACAGCCCTGAATTTTCTTTTCACTCTTCATTTCATATAGCAAAGACATTCATATAGCTACTGACATTTTTGGTCAAAGCAGTAAATTAGTGTGTAACCAAAACTGTCATAATTTATAGATTCTTGAAATGAGCAGGAAATTCAATTAATTTGTTGGACATCTCCCCCAGTTTATTTCTGTTTATGTGTTCTGAGTTTCTCCTAGGGATTGCCACTAATGTTTTCCACTTAAGTTGATCTATAAGTGAAAATTGTATGGAACACATATACCTGGTATTTAAAATCTATGAAATTTTTCAGACCTGGTCCTTACATAAAATAGGGATATTTACAACTCCTTGGATAACAGAAGGAGGCCAAAATATTTGAGATTATGGTTCTTACTTTTCGAAGCTCCTGATCCAGTTCAGTTTTTTTGACTCTAATACAGGACATCTGTACTAAAAGGTGGCTCTGCCTGTAGCAGAGGGTTGAAATGATCTTTAAGGTCATTTCCAATCCAAACCATTCCATGACATTTGGTTTTGTGTCCCAACATTGCTTTCAGGCTATTGACTCTTAATTTTCTCTAAATGTTTTTTACTGCTATTGTGCTAACATGGAATCACTGATTCCATCAAAATTAAAATGAAGTAGATAATAAATAACTCCCAAATAGCATATATTTTTTGCTCAAACCATGACTGAATTCAATGATCTGTGAAGAAATTTTATATGCCTTAAGCAAAATGCATTACTTCTGCATTCTTTTTGTAGAGATGTACAGTCCCAACTTACTCACAGTAATTTCTTCTATCATAGAGACTCTTTATTTTTAGCTGTAGGTATGGTCACCTGTTGAGAATTTAAACCTCAAATAAAATTGTCTGTCAGTGACATTGTATCTCTTGTTGCTACACATTTTAGGGAATTTTACATTTAATCAGACAAAAAAGTATCAGTTTAACTTAGGTGTTCCCTACTACAGAAATGCAGATGGCACTTCAGAAAATGCCCACCTTCAACCTAAAGGGTAAGCCACAGTATTAACCCTTACCTTGAGCAGAATTCTAGCAGGGCAAACAGCATCTGCAAAAGTTGTCTACACTTTAGGACAGAAACCAACATAAAAACTCCATCCTGGAGAATGAAATAAAAAATAATGCCTCAGTATGGCAGCTTCACTGAAGAAAGTCTTATTCCAACATGTATACAAACCCGTATTTTCCCCAAACCATCCAGTCCCTGTAACAATGAAGACAGAAGGAAACAGATGTAGTGGGAAAGCAACAGAATAGGCACTTAATTCAAATTTGCAAATTTTGGAGAGATTAAATTGTATAATTTTTTCTTCTAAATTTTACTGATCCTAGGAGCAGTATAGTAAAGAAATGAGGTTTGAGAATATTCTGATAAATCATTTAAGCAAACAATCATGACCACTGAAAGCAGAGGTCTTTCAAAATATATTGCCATAGTGAAAGCATTAAAACTCTCTCAGACACTCCCAAAAGGTTTGGAGTTAAATGTTGCAGTTATTATACTGCACAACTATTTGGACATCATATAAAAATTATTAATGTCTCCTGTATATATTCATGTTGGGTAGGAAAATCCACAAATTTACTGAATCTTTCGAAAAAAATCCAGATTTATACTTATTAAATATTTCCAGAAAAAAAGCAGGAATTATTTTACTTTATTGGTTGTTGGCCTTAAATAGAACTGGCGACACATTACAGGAAAGCTGCAGAATGATAATATATATGTTAGGATATACTAATATAAAACATTACATGTAACACATTAAATAAGATACCCCACTGTTGTGAGCACCTTACCAAAAATCAGTATCACAGAAGTCAGCTATTTGTATTAAATCTCATATTAAATGAGAGAAAAAAGAAACTGTGAACAGCCTAAAAAGTTCTTTGCTTCACTTACTGGATTTCCCCTCCACTGGTGCCATAAGCTGACCTGGGCCATCAGCCAAGCACCCACACAGCCAAATGCTCAGTTCCCCCTGCCCAGCAGGACTGACTACAGAGAAGGGAGATCAAGAAAGGCCATGTGTCAAGATAAATACAATTTAATAGGTGAAGGGGAAAACAACAAGATCACAACCACAACAAATGATGCAGAGCTGGTCACCCACCACCTCTCACAAGTGCAGAAACAACCAGCAAATACCAGATTGGTGGCCAGCTTGAAAGAAGCCCACATCCTTCCACCCTCTCTCATCTATACCCAGTTTTGAGTGCTAATCATGATAAGATCTTTGTTCACTTGCAGGCAACTATCCCAGCTCCGTCCCTTCCCAACTTCTTGTGCACCTCTAGCTTACACGCTGGGGACAGGGGTAAAGTGAAAAGTGGAGAAAGCCTTGACATTGTGCAAGTAGTGTACAGGGACAGACAAATTATTAGTGTGGTATCAATACTCTTTTAGCCAAAATCAAAGATACCGCACCATATTGGCTGCTGTAATGAAAGTTAATTCCTTCCCAGCAAGGTTCAGTACAATTGCAGTAGTGGTGATGTTTTTTCACCAATTTAAAGTACGACTTCCCCTTAAAAAACAGTTCATAATCCCATAATGACTTTCCAAAAGCTTTTCCTGCAGATCTGCTCACACTTGGATGTTGATAGGAAAAGAATACCATGAAAACAGGTTTAAGAATTTTCTAAGTTATTCTCTTTTTTTAACATGCAGACACTGCCAATAAAAAATGCACTGCCATTACAGCAATTGCCAAAAGTCCCACTGAAATAAACCAAAACCAGAGACTTTTTTAAATGGCATGAAATATGAGAGATTTGTACTTTGGCAGCTCTGTTGAATATCAGGTGGGTATACAGTCTATTTTGCAATAAGAGAGACAGTGTTTTGGCTGAAAATAATGCCTGTACCCCACAATAGTGCTAACACCAATTTATTATGGGGAAGAAGGAAGTGGATTTTTCCTGTTGCACGGACCGCCCATCACGGGACACCACATGGTGTCATGCAGCACAGTCACTGCTGAAGGAGACCTGCCCAGTCTGGCCTAACCCAAGGTGCCTCATGCCACCCAGTCCTGTGTGACCTGCACCAGGAGTGGTTTGTCCCCAGGCAGTCGTGGTTGAAGGATAATGGCGCTTTTTGGCTGTGGTCTCAGCTTCCACAGGAATTAATTCCATCACACAGGGTGTGGAGGAGGCCTTGAAGAGGGATTTTTCTTCAGGCTAAGTGTCTGGGATGCTGGAGTCTCTTTCTCACCTGGAGCTGCTACAAATGTTTGATGAAACTATGGGAGGAATTTTTGTGTGAAATACAGCAGGAAGGGTGATACTGTGCTATGGTTGGCCCTTTAGCTGCTCCAAAAGGAGACCCTCAGGGAGTCCTTTTTTCAGTACACACAAAGCACCAAAAAACTTCAATAAATTCACCAACTGGCATCTGGCATGTGCACCAATATGCACACATTCGTTTATTCCCTTTCGACAAGCCGCACTTGACGCTTTTCCACCCTCTGTCCCCAGCGTGGTGCTGAGCATCGACACATCCATCTTCCAAAGCCAGATGCCCGTGGGGCGACACTGGCGCTACCAGGAGCCCAAGGCAGGGGTCCGAAGGAGAGCAGCACAGCGGGGTCCCGGGGACAGCCCGGTCAGGAGGCACCAAGGGACGCACATCACGGGTCCCGAGCAGCGGTGCCGGGGGTCCGGAGGAGACGGACGCCAGCGGCTCCGGGGGCTGCAGCGCTGCATCCGAAAGAGTCCGGGGGCACGGCGGCTGGAGAGGAGGCAGAGCTCGCCCACACCGCGCTGAGGAAGTGGCCGCGGCTGCGAGCGAAAACGAGGAAGCGGCGAATCCGGCGGCGCTGAGGGAGGGTCCGGCGCCGCTCCGGCCGCAGCCCGGCACGGCTCGGCACAGCAGAGCCGCCCGCCCGAGGGCTGCCCCCGGAAGGAGGCGGCGGCGGGAGCCGAGTGACCCCGAGCAGCAGCGGTGAGCAGCGCGGGGACCGGAGCGGGGCCGGCCCGGGGACCGGAGCGGGGCCGGCCCGGAGCCGCCGCTCCTTCCCTGCCGCGGCCGGGGGATGCGGACGGGGATGCGGACGGGGATGCGGACGGGGATGCGGCCGGGGGATGCGGACGGGGATACGGACGGGGATGCGGACGGGGATGCGGACGGGGATGCGGACGGGGATGCGGACGGGCCGGGGCCGGGGACGCTGCTGTCCCCGCCGCGGGGTTTGGGGTGCCGGGGACGCCGGCAGAAAGGAGAGCCGGAGCGCTCAGCAGCGGTGGGAGGGATGCTGAGGCACCGGGACACGGGAGGGTCGCAAGGAGCGGCGGCAGAGAGGAGCGGCCGTGGCGGGGTGGGAGCGGGCGGCTGGAAACGCGCCACCAGCCTGAAAGCTGTCTGAATTGCCGTGCTTCGGAAAATAAATACCGCTAGCCCGGCGTCCCAAGAATTTAAATCTAAAACTCAAGCGCGAAAGAAAATTGATTTTGCTTTGTTGCGAGACGTTACTGTGGTGGCAGGTCTCAAACAGACCCAAATATACACAGAACTAGGGCTGCTGTCTGAATGGTGCATAGCCCGTGAAAGATTTATGCCTGGAAAAAAAAAAAAAATCTTTAAAAAAGCGGGTTCTTTTACCAAACTTCCCTATTTTGTTTCCAAGAAAACAGCTGTGGTTATTGTATCACTAGTGGTCGATTCTTCAAGTCTGGGTGCCAGAGAAATTTCTCTTAGTTTTGTGTTCTGCTGGCATTATTCATATCTTTGGTAGCACTGTACCGCATGCATTTTATGTTGTAGCTGTCTAGATTAGTTTGAAATGATGTTATGTGATGTTTTCTTGGACAAAGTAAAACAAGATTTTTGTTAGATGAAACAATCCCTTAGAAGAGTGGCAAGTGGAGTATGAGTCTGGCCAAGTTACATGATATATTTATTGTAAAACAATTATTTAACGTAAATTTAAAATGAAATTATTCTTCTTTAGGGCATTAACAGTTTATAGGATTTTTTTATTGTTCTTTTCCATTTGGTTTCTTTCTTGCTCTTTTTATCCACAAAAGCATAGATCTCCTGAGTCCTTGGGTTGGATCCATGGAGTAATCCATGGACACAGCCATCCAGTACAGATGCATGTAGTTTCAGCATGCAAAGGTCTGTATTTTTACAGGCTTGGAGGCCATACAGTGTAGCAGTGTAGACTGAGGCAGTCCCGTTAGCGGAACTGTGACTTCTTTTTTTTTTTTTTTCTTCATCCCTCTGTTGAGCACTGAGAGATAAATAAGGAAGTTTGAATGTTCTTTATGTTGTGACAGTTATCTCATGAGCGAGCAAGATTATAGTCATAGATATGTATATGTTAACTAAAGAGTTTGAAATCAGATGTATTTTTTTAAATGGCTGAAATAGATAAAAGTATAGCATTATTTTGGTTTTCACAATCACTTAAAAATCACTACAAAATACCATGATAAATATAGTTGACACATTCAAGGGGTTTTTTCAGTTAAAAAATATTAACACTCTGTCAAAGCAAGGGTGAACTGTGCAGCTTTCCCTTTTGCACATTGTTGCAATTTGATACAAGAGCAGAATTAGATCCAAAGCCACAGGAAGATAAAAGCAAATTTATTTTTAGAATTAGCTAGCAGTTTATGTTGAGCACAAAATAACAGTTTCAAAGACTTATGGTGAAATTATAAGCTTGTCTTAAACACGTTGGAAGATACCAATGGCCAAAAAAAAATAATCTAGAGTAATTTCCTTAGTCTCCCATATTTTCTTCTGGATCAAATAGGACAGAAGTATTGGAAGCAGGAGAAATCACTTCTGAAATATATGTTGTGTTCAGAAGTCATAGTCTCTCAATGATAATTTTCTCCTTTTTTGCAAATTACACTTCTTTTTTCTTAATCCTTTTTCAAGACTCAATATTTAGCAGAAGACAATGAGTCCAATGCCACTGTTGATGTGAATACTATAAGAGTAAGAAATCTGTTTGCATCTGAAAATTCTAGGTAGTGTTGTCCTTTTTCCAGATTTACAAACCTTTGAGCCAGTACACCAGGATCTCTTGTGTACACATTACACAAACTGTGCCAGAATCTGCCTTCAGTTGCATGTGTTTATGTCTAGAATAGCACAGCTGAAAAAGGGAACTTGTCAGGGTTTATATCATAATTACAAGGAATGCAAGAGTTATCTATAAATGTGAGTAATAGTCACAGAAAAATCATTCCAAATGAGTCTTCTAATCTGTTATGTTGTGCTCGAAATAAACCACTAGCTGCTTCTACAAACTACCTCTTTTTTGCTTGAATGTAAATGTGTGCTTGAGTTGCTCCAGTGGGGCAAGAGTGCTTATACCACTCAAGTTGAAGATGGGCTTGCAGGTGTTTGTGGGTGTCAGTAGTAAGGTTCAGTCGTAAGAATGAAAACTTTTCATCTTGCAATGATTTACAGTATCAACTTCTTAATTTCTAATTTAAGAAAATGTAAAATACCAATTCATTGTAGAGAAACAATTTTGTAGTTCAATTTAACAGTAGTTTTGCTTGCATTTGACGAAAGAAGAAAATCTTGGTGGGGGAGGAGAGGGCAGCTCACTACATGTCTCAGCTGGCATTTCTAGAAATGCTTTTACAAAAACGTGTTCTTAATATCTGTACTACTTTTTCAGAAAAACATTATTAATTTCTGGAGTTGGATTTAAGCCTTTCAGCCACTCTTGAGAAAAAGAAACTTTGGGCTTTGCAGTATCCTTCCCTAATCTTTTGTATGGTGTAAGATAGTACAATACACAATTATTAATATTTATTTAAGGCGTGGTTAAATCATTTAATCACAAAGCTCTTGCTTAGTATTTGCATTGTAGTTTAAGATTCCAGTAGCAAGGGTACATATTGGATATTGTTTACCTTTTAATTTCACTATATAGGGTAATGTGAAGGCATACAGTTAAGCAGAAGAAAACATTTCCTACTGACTTCTTCATTGCATGTTGAGGTGATTGGAAAACATCAGCATTACAAATGCAGGAAGTGTGAAGGAGCTGTATGACCCTGAACCAAAAAGGAAAAATTCCAGGATTTGCTGTAGCAAATGATAATTAATAAATAAATATGATGCTTGACATGGAAACATTGCCTGTCTCAAATAAATAAAATACAATTTTGTAGTTTGTGTATGCATTCCAAATTTGAAATTAGGTTATAACCTCCGGTGCCTTTACATATGATGATTAATGATATTTCTTAAGAGTTGCTCTTCTAAAAATGAAAGAAAATATAAAAATACTTTTGAGACTTACAGGGATCCTAATGTTATGAAGTGACTTCAGTATATCTATATTGCGACCAGTGTTATTTAATATCTTCATTAATGGCAGATAAAGGGACCAAGTGCATGCTCAAGAAATTTTTAGGTAACACCGAGCTGAGAGGTGCAGTTGACACACCTGAAAGATGGGATACCATCCAGAGGGACCTGGATAAGCTCGAGAAGTGAGGCCATAGGAACCTGAGGAAGTTTAACAAGGTTAAAGGTGCTGCACTGGGTCGGGGCAGCCCTCAGTGCTGACACAGGCTGGGAGATGGAGAGCAGCCCTGTGAGAAGGATTTGGGGGTGCTGGTGGTGAGAGGCTGGACATGACCCAGCCATGGGCACTCCCAGCCCAGAAAGCCAAACGTGTCCTGGGCTGCATCCAAAGCAGCGTGGGCAGCAGGGGAGGGAGGGGATTCTGCCCCTCTGCTCTGCTCTGGTGAGAGCCCACCTGGAACCCTGCATCAGCCCTGGGGTCCCAGCACAGGGAGGACATGGAACTATTGGAGCAAGTCCAGAGGAGGTCACCAAGGTGATTGGAAGGATGCAGCACCTTTCCTATGAGGAAAGTCTGAGAGAGTTGGGAATGCTCAGCCTGGAAGAGAGAAGCATTCCAGATTACCTAATTGCAGCCTTGCAGTACCTGAAGGAAACCCAGAAAAAAAAAGATAGATAGACAATTTATAAGAGCATATAGTGACAGGACAAGGTAGAATGGCTTAAAACTCTGTTGGTTTAGATTACATATTAGGAAGAAATTGTTTACAGTGAGGGTGGTGAGGCACTGGGAGAGTTTGCCCAGGGATGTTGTGGATGTCCCATCCCACAAGTGTTCAAGGCCAGGCTGGGGCTGGCCCCCCAGGATGGGGCTCTGAGAAAACCTGGTCCAGTGAAAGGTGTTTCTGCCTGTGACAGGGGGATTGAATCTAGATGATCTTTAAGGTCCCTGCAACCCAAGCTACCCTTTGATTCCATTATTTGCAAAATGCTGCTTCCCTTTGTACCAGGTACCAGAGTAAATAATTAAAAATTTATATGTATTAGAACCTAAATGACCAGGATACAGGAGTATGATTACAGATGGTTTGTCCAGTTCCATTATCACTCGGTTTGTAGTAAACTGATGTTAGAATATGTTGGTTGACAAGCTAGGACTACTCAATCATTTCTCCAGTTTTGCTCTCATTTGCTTTGTGATAGTGTTCCTCCAAACAGATATGGATTTTCAGGTGCTTGAGTGGAAAAAATGTCCAGTAAAAATTCCAACAACTTTGCCTTCTTTAAAAATGGAAAGAGGCAGCAGAAGGAATTTTTCACCACTGAAAAAATCAGTGGTGAAATTCACCACTGAGCAGAAGATATGAGGTGGTAAAAGCTTTGATAAAGAAGCAGGACTTCTGGCATGGTAGTGTGGAAGTCCAGCCGTGTAAATCCCTGAGGCAATATCTAGGCTAGGGGTGGAGCTGAAATTGACAGGAAACACAATCGTGATTAGAGGCAACTAGAGAAAACACTTTCAGAAAGTGGTAGAGTAGTGTATGTACCAAGGAATCAGAAAATTGCTGAAATATTTTAATGTCATAAATCCTTATCTTAAGCAACAGATTCAGTAAAATGAGTAAGGTGTCACCATTTCATGCATCACCCACAGACCATCCCTA